AAAAAAAAAAAAAAAAGGTGATTAGGCCATGAGGTCTCCTCACTTATAAAAGAGGCTTCACATAGCATTTGGCTCTCTTACCCTTCTGCCTTCAGTCATGGCGACACAGCATTCCTCCCTCTGGAGAATGCAGCAACAAGGTGCCATTTTTGGAATCAGAGAGACTAGGTCCTCACTAGCTGCCATCTTGATCTTGGACTTCCAGAACTGTGAGAAATAAATTTCTATTTTCATAAATTACCCAGTCTCAGGTATTTGTTTTGGCAGCACAAAATGAACTAACACAGTTGGCCAAGGCTTCCTAGAGCTTCTCTGCAATTTGACTTCTTCCTCTGCCCAATCAAGCTTTTCCCCTTGTTCTTTCATGGGTGTTGATCCCTAGTAAACACCTTGTACTCCAAACTCTGTCTCAGCACTTGCTTTTGGAGACCCCAACCTGTACCACTGCCTTGATAAAAGTTGCCTATAAAACTATTTGTGTTGTATATTCCATGCATATATTTTCCAGTATATATTGGAATATTTTTAACCATTGCTTTAATTCTTCTAATAGCCATAGGATTATTCAGTTTTTCCATTTCTTCTTGAGTCAAGTCTGGTAAATCACATTTTTCCAGTGATTCATTCATATTGTCCAAATGTTCAAAATTTTTGACATGTAGATATTGATAATATTCTCTCTTAATCATTCTAGTATTGATGTTATCTTTGGTTTCACCCCTCTTTTCTCCACTCTTGTGTTTACTTGTGTCTTCTCCCTTCTTTTCTTGATCAATATCCCATGTTTTTCTACTTCATTTTTTTAAAAGAACCAATCTTTGGCTTTTTTGATTCTCTCCATTATGCTTTTGCTTTATATTTCATTGAGTTCTACTCCTAATTTCTTTATCTCCTTTCTTCTATATTCCCTGAGATCATTAAATTGTTCATTTGTTCCAGAATATTCCCTCTCTACTGCCTATACTGTCACTCCTATTTATAAACACGTGTTGATATGTTTGAGAGTTTTGTTTTGATGGGTGGAAGGAGTGGTTGCAAAAAGATGGGAGGTGAGGAACCACAGAAATAAGGGATAAGATGGGCTTCCCATAGACAAGGTCTGATTTCCTACAGAGAGAGGGAATTCAGGAAAAAGGCAGAAGACTATGGCTTTGAGGCCCAAAGGATAAAAATCAACCCAGAGCAAAAGAGAGGCATCTTCTTGCTGTTTCTACATGAATCACAATGCTGTGTCCAGAGGGACTGTGGATGAGCATTGAAGCAGTCTGTTGTGCCTGGCAGAGCACAGGGAAAGGGGCAGCCTCACCCAGGGCACCTATGGTAGGGATAGTGCACACGGTCTTCTTCAAATAGCTTGAAAGTGGCAGGCTGCTTAGAAAAGCTAGAGCTCTGGAATGTAAGTGAATGTGTGGTAGAGAATATGAGAGGCCCCCTTAGGCTATCACTGGGTATATCTGGATGAGGCTAAGAATGTTGTCCTATGATCAAGCAAGTTTAAATAACCCTGCAAAATTCTGATAGTAGTGTGACCTTATTTATTGCCAAAGCTGGTGAGGTCTGGGGGACACTGGGTTACACATATGTCTTTTCTCTACTGCAAATACATATGCTCATTCTGAGCTGGAGCTGTGCCCTCATCACTGTTGTATACCCCACAGGATAATGCCTTAAATATGGTGAAGGATATTCCCAGTCTCCACTTCAATGCCCCCTTTCCAAATTACCCTAATTTCAACCTCTGAAATGGTCTTCCTAGGAGTCTACCCAGAGCCCCATGCATGTCCTTGTTCCTCAGGCTGTAGATGAAAGGGTTCATCATGGGGGTCACCACGGCATACATCACTGTGGCTACTGAGTCCTTCATGGAGTAGGTGTGCAGGGGCTGCAGGTATACCATGCCCAGTGTCCCATAGAAGAGGGAGACCACACCCAAGTGGGAAGCACAGGTAGAAAAAGCTTTGTATTTCTTAGAGGCTGAGGGTATTCGGAGGATGGCTCTGACAATGCGGACATAAGACATGATCACGAACCCTAAGGGGGTGAGGAAGATGAAGCAGCCTGTGGCAACCAGCACTGTGTGAATGATGTAGGTGTTGGAACATGCCAGCCTCAGCAGGACGTACATCTCACAGAAGATGTAGTGGATCTTTCGGGACTTACAGAAGATCACCCTGGTCATGAGAAGGGTGAGGAGGAGGCCATAAAGGGCAGAGAGCACCCAACACAAAGTGATGAGAAAGATACAAAGCCCAGGGCTCATGGCTGAGACATAGTGGAGGGGGCGGCAGATGGCCACATAGCGGTCATATGCCATCATGGCCAGGATGAGGTTGTCTAAGGTAACCAAGGAGATCAGGAAGTGCAGCTGTGTCAGACACCCTGCGTAGGAGATGGCTTTGTTTTGGGATTGAAGGTTCACCAGCATCTTGGGGATTGTGTTGGTGACGAAGAAGAGGTCAGTAAAGGAGAGGTTGGCCAGGAAGAAGTACATGGGAGTGTGCAGGTGGGAGTCAGAGCTGATGGCCAGGACGATGAGCACATTTCCCACCACGGTGACCAGGTACATGGACAGGAACATCCAAAACAGTATTCG